CATGAAAAATCAGACGTAGTCTGAACGTAGTCTGGACGTAGTCTGGACGTAAAAAAACATGCTTTTATATGAAAACCGACGTAGTCTGGACGTAGTCCAGCCTCAAAACCACCCTGCAGCTAAGGAAACAGACGTAGTCTGGACGTAGTCCAACGCTTTTCATAGGAAAATTGACGTAGGCGGGACGTAGTCGGAACATAGTCCAACTATTTCCTGCATTCTCTGCGATGTAGTCTGAATGTAGTCCGCATGTAGTCGGACTCTTTGTTGTCTTGCAGATTTCGAAGCATGTGCCGCTGTTATATATAGGCTCGAGAATCCTCGGCACCTGCAGCTTTTTTGCTTCCAACCTTTGCTGCAGGGATGGCTGCAAGCAACTTGCCAGTGCCTCTGCAGCCTGCGGCCGAACAGCTGGTTGCTGAGTCAGAGGCCGAAGCGGCACTTGCGGCGACAAGCCTGCAGTGCAGCGAGTGCAAGAAAAACCTTCTGCCTCATGAGCTTGCCAGCAACGCAAAAAAACTTTGCAAGGACTGCAACAGTCTTCTGCAGGTGCTCTTCCGCAACCTCGGGGCTGGTGCTCTGGACAACCTGACCAGCGAAGACCGTACGCAGTTCTTCGGCAGGTGCATCGCGACCAAGCAAGGCTCTCGTTACGAGTGGTCTCTGGTGCGCGCCGCCCTGCTGGAGAGCCGCATCGAGCGGCGAACGCAGCAAAGGATCGCCGAAATCGGCGGACCGTTCCTGCCGATGTCCGTGTGGCTGAACAAAGGATACACCGAAGACCACGTTAGGAAATTCCCCTGCGAGAAAGACACCGTGGGAGAAGAGACCTGGCAAGTGCAGACAAAAACCGTGAGCCGCAGGGACGTGCAAGAGTCTGTCGAAGAAGAACTGCTCCAACGAGAGTCTCACTTGAAACAGCTCCGCCCAAGCAAAGGCAAAAGCCTGCAGGACAGCACGGCCGCTGCGGAGCCAGAGCTTCACGTTCCGAAGCAGCCTGCACTGCCCTTGCAGCCGAAAGAGAAGACCGAGAAGCAGAAGGCTCAAGCGGCGGCTCGTGAAGAAAAGGCCCAGGCCAAAGCTGCCGCTCAGACGGCCAGAAAAAACCGGGCCTTGTGCACGGAAGCCACGGCCACTCTGTCCAAACTCCAGCCCAAGGAGGCAGCCTTGGAAAAGTTGCAGCAAAAAGCGGCCCAACACAAGCTAGAGGACTTGGGCACAACGGTTCAGGAAGCGAGGCAGCAGCTGCAAGACTGGCTGAAGGCCTGCAAGCAGTGTGTTGCTGCCTCCGACGCAGCAGGTGCAGTTTTGGGCGAGCTTCCCTTCACGCAGGAAATGGTCAAAGGCTTTCTGCAGGCCGTGCAGCAGCTGCAGAAGGACGTCAACGACGCGACGCCAAAGCCAGAGCCAAAGCCAAAGAAGACCGCAGCGAAGGCCGCGGCCAAGGAAACGGGCGAGCCCGCCCCGAAGCGCAGACGACAGAAGGGTGCCTGAAGGCATCCCGGTCTGATGCGCCTGCACATCTGATGCATTGATCATCAGTCGCTGCATCTGCTGCCTTTTCTCCCCACAGCCACTTTTCCTCCGGCTCACCGCAATGCCCACTCACGGCATGCAAACTTTTAACGGAGACTCCTTTCGCCACCGGCACCACGAGCGAACGACAAAAGGATTTAGGGCTGGGTTCATGGCTTAGAAGGTTTATATAGGGTTTCGGGTCCTATATATTATATACATATAATAATAATAATAATACTAATACCAATATTAATAATATAAACACACGAGTCTAATTTTTCTCATCATGTATGTGTACACTCTCTGCTATTTGTTTGCTGCTTCGTATACAGCTTTCGGTTCAAGTGTCCTCTGCCAAGTGTCCGGTGCCTTACGTGAAGCAGCATGGCCGATGCTGCTGCTAACTCTGTCCTCTTGCGACATGGCAAGGAGGCATCCATGTATTTTCTTTGTATTATTATATATAGGTCTATATAAACTTTTTAAACCGTGTGTACACACAGGTGCTTCTCAATGAGGACATCCGTGAGAGCATTCGCAAAGCAATGCTCAAATCGGAACGAGACTTGGAGCCGGTTGTGGTTTCTTCTTCTTCTGATGAAGAGACGAAATCGGAGGCTGGCATCCGTGACATGCCGAGCAGCTCGGCCGATGGCTTGCCGGGAACAGGGCCAGACCTCATGACCACAAACGAGATTGTGGAGCATGCTGACCTGCTGGCAGCAGAAATGTGGCCGCTGCTCGGCCGCAAAGAGCTCTCGGATATCACACTCTCTTCCCTCCTAGAACACCGATATATCCTTCAGGACATCAAGGAGACCCTGCTGCGGCAGCAGCGAGGCCTGCCCCACACGTGTCTCCGTACACAAGCGGGGGTACAGGCGGCTCTGAAAGATGCCGAGCACCTTCTGCGATGCGCCCGCCGTGAAGCCGAAGAACGGGCCACCACTGCTAAAAACAGAAAAACGCCGACAGCCTGCCGAACTGCCTGAGCAACCTATACATGTGTGTAAAGCAGCACCGGCAGGGGAGCCGATCCACCGACTGCGAAGGGACAAAAACAAAGGGTTGACCAACTCCTTGTATGTGCAGGTGAACCATA